TTACGCAGCCTACTGCGAAAGACGCCGGCTAATTAAGGAGTTTTTTCTAACTCTCAATTCCCAACGGTAGACACCAGACATCTGGTGTGTACATGTAAATAACAATAATAATGTATTATGTGCCTCACTCCAGATCATGTCTGAATAGGCTTTGCATAGTACCTTTCCATGAAGCATAGTGCAGGTTGGAACTTAAAGATGACCACTTGGCTGGTGAATGGCGATGCAAGTGACCGGCACAGTTGCATTTGGAATTCACGCATGTAAAAGAGCATTATTTTAGAGCATTTTGCATGAAGCCTCGAGATCGCTCTCAGAAACTACAGGCATTAATTGTCGAAGTATTGGGGGTGAAATAAAATGTAACGGTAAATATAAGATATTTCACACTAAAATAATGATGGTGTAGCTTATTCTCCTAAACTTTCGATTCCTTCTGGAGTCATCGTCAGTGGAAAGATCTAGTGGCAAAGGTCCGTTTCAAAATTCGACTATATAGGGAGGGCGTCTTGCCATCGATCCATTGATTTTCGGGTATTTCTTGCTCAACGAATTACAAGGTCGATGGTAATACGTCAACTATAGCTTGGCGAATTGTGACGCTGTCTTTTGCAACTACGCCTCCGGTGAGAATTGTAATTTCCAATATCACTTCTGGAACCATAACTACAAAACTATCCATATATATATATATATATATATATATATATATATATATATATATATATATATATATATATATACAGAGCGATTGAAAAGTAACTCCATATTTTAAAATACTGGATAGAAGAGTAAATTGTTTAGCATGATTGTTTATTTAAAATTTGATATGGGCACCAGATTTTGCTACTATCTTCTCGATACTCGAACCGCCAAGAAATCGCGTCAATTAATTTCACCAGGAACTCATGTGGTATGGTAGACAGAATTTGTATTCAATCTTCAAGTTCTTCTAATGTCTTCGTTTGGTATAGAAGACTTTCTCCCTTAACCAACCCCAAAGAAAAAAATGTCGCTGGGTGTTAAGTCAGGACTCTTGGCTGTCGACTCATACATAAAATATGGAGTTACTTTTCAGTCACCCTATATATATATATATATATATATATATATATATATATATATATATATGTATATATATGTATGTGTGTGTGTGTGTGTGTGTATATAAAATGGTCTGACAATTATTTTAATATATTTTCTGTTTATACGTTATTTTTACAGATACAGTTACTTAAGCAAATGCTCTGTTTATAATAAACAGTATTAATTACACACACATACACACACACACACATATATATATATAATTAAAACATGTGTTAATAGCTGAATAAATATCTGTGTATATTAGAAAATTGAAAATAAAACTAGAATATGCAGTTGACAATTGTACATATCATAATCGGCTCGATCAAATGAATTTGAAATCAGAAGAAATGAGACCCATTCATACAGCATTTCTAAAATGAACAAAAATACTGAAAATATCTGGAGTACTGAGGAGAGATGCTTTCGTGTGATCTTTAACGGAAACCACCAGATACAACAGGTGTGAAAATTCTAATAACAATGGATTACCAAGACCTTGCTTGAGTATTAAAGAAGCCATGCAGCATAGTGGCGAATGTTGTATCCAGAAAAATAGTGTACTTAGAATTGATTTAAATAATTGATGAAAGGAATCACATGGCAGATGTGTCGAGTGATTGTTTGGTTTGAGAAGGTATACTCTCGCTTAATGTTTCACTACAATTGGTTTGAAAGTTTGATGTAAAGATGAAAATAACTAATAATTTCTGATGATGATGATGATGATGATGATGATGATGATATTTTGCTATTGGAACTGTAGACAAAAGTCGGAAATGAAGAATTAGAATAAGTGATTTTAGTGATGGAATATAAACAACAAAGGGAATTAAATTGCCAGAATATGAATAATCAGTAAGTTGAAGGATATGGAAAATTACAAATTGTGTACTATCCAGAGTATTGGTTCAGGTGGATTAAAAAATATAAGCATAATTGAATGGGAAAGGTCCTTTACACAGAATTGTGCAAACGATTGAGTATTGGTCATGCAAATTAATAGTATAGACACAAAGCAGCTATACTCGAGAATAAAAAGGCATGAAATTATGTTGAATTTTGAAATTTAAATGGCTAAGGTAATCAAGGATAGAATGAGAATCTCGTTATTATAAACGAGGAAAGAGAAATTGATAGGATTGTGATGGAGCTGTTTAAGTAAGAATCAAAGAAATTTAAGAATTAAGAAATACCAGGAGTTTGCCATGAAGCTGAAATAATTGTGGAAACATGAAGTTGAATGTTGTGTCTGCATTTGAAACAGTTTTGAAAAGACTTACAAAATAATTCGAAGAATTAGAATTCTGAAAAAGAATGTATCTAGGTAACGGCATTATAAAATCAACTCGAATACTGAGAAGAGTGCTGAAGTTTTATGAAGTCCTGCCAGTAAAAAAAATATCAGTTTTCAAAAGAAGTAATACTCAAAAAAAAAAGGGTATTTGGTATTAAAAACTGAATTGAATTCTCAGAACAGAATTAAGAAAACCTAGCCATCCCAGTGGTCCAATATAGTTTCAACATGAACTGCTGAAAGACAAATAATTGTGTAAAGATGCATCATCCAAAGGCTGATGTTGACCGTCTATCTGCATTTATTCAGCTAGAAACAAACAACAAATGACTGGATGATAAAATTAGTGAAACAACATGAAAACAGAAAGAAAAATAAATAATAAAAGAAGGCGAAGTACATTTAAATTTAGTAGATTCTGTAGTAAATCAAAACAGAAGCCAAGAACCAACTATTGCAGCAAAAAGAATGAAAAAAGAAAAAGGAATGTAACGCTGGCAAGACAAAAACCTCTAGGCCAATATCCAGAACGCAAATAAACCCAATGTTGATAAAGTTAATACTCATCGATTATAAAATTCTTGCAGCAAGACCATACTGAGAAGAAATATCATACATAATAATGCTGAAGACCATTTTCTATACTTGCCCCAAAATGAATAAAAAAAATCAGATAATAGGGGCAATACTTACACTGGACAATGCCACTTTGGAAAATGTAAAAACACTATGAACATCGGCCAGCGCCGGTTACAAAAAAGATGTCACCATTCTATGGGATTAACCATCCACAACACAGAAAAATTGAACTTATTGTCAAAACCAGAAAGAAAAAACTTGCCTACTAATTGATAATTTTAACATAGCAACCAAAGGAATTTGAAAAACTATCAAAATACAATAAAAAAATAAAGAATAATAATAATGGTAATTGAATAAACCCCAGCTTCAGGACATGGAAAATAACACTAAGGAGAACAAACTCACTTCATCGGAATAAAAAAAAAAAAAAAAAAAAAAAATGAATCCTTAAGACTAGTCGTAAAATCGAATGATGATGATAATAATAATAATAATAATAATAATAATAATAAATGCTTCAGGACATGGAAAATAAGACTATGCAACTCATCCAGGAGAAGACTGGATCTTATAGTCGTAAACCAGGTTGACCTGTCAGATCGTGGGTGTGCCGGTGGATTATAGTGTGCAAACGAAGAAAAGGCGAAAAAAAATTGAATTTTTCATCCGGGAAGTATGATAGGTATGAAGCACGAATGTTAAAAGTTGTGTCGATAATTACTGGATTACTTGATTTGAGATTCGAAGAAGCATATAAACCGTTCAACCCATGGCATTGCCGCGATGTGCAATGACACAAAGAAACGTGTCTTTGATTTGAAGATGCATACTGTCACGCAAATCTCAGCGGTAACCAATATATATAAAATATAACAATATTAATGAAAAATTGTATTCCCGATAATCTAACTACCTGGAAAATATTTGGACAAATGATGGAAAATATTACGCCGAAATCCAAAGGCACATTTGAATAGCAAAACAGTAGTAAGAAACACAAACGTTCAATAGAAATAAAGAAAATAGCGCAGAACCGCCATCAAGTTTCCTATATAGCAGTGAATGCTGGGCAATGTCCTCAAACTGGAAACAGTAGAGATATCGTTCAACAGAAGGATACTGGGGATACTATGGACGGCGCATGTAAACATTGATGAAGTTTTAAGAAAATTGAAAATAAATACTAATATTTAGAAATAGATAATTGACAATTTTAGAATACATAATTCCAAAAGAAGGCATGGAAAATCTGACACTCCATTGATACACTGAGTGCAAAACAAGTCAGAAGGATACAGAGAGTAACCTACCAAACAGGTTTGTACAAATGGATGGAAGAACAGTTTGTTTAGTGTCATATAACTCTTTATGGGTCATTTAATGCCGACATTTAATTTTCTTGGGAACATTAGTAATTTCTTTTACATATATGTATTGCTGGTAATATTTTTTAGTATGAAATGTACTGCTAGTATTTTATTATGAAAATGTATTCTTATACTTTCATAGTGTCTTGGTCCTAGTTTGGGTGTTCACTCTTTACCCATAGCCGGATTAGGGAGGACCCAGGAACAACAGCAATTAAAATGTGGTTCCACGCTCCTCAAAGCCTCCTTGCTGTCGGATGTTAGTTTAATGTCATATTCAGAACAGAATGATAGAACAAGGTAATAAGACAAACAAAATTATTGCACCATAAAAGATTATATCAGTAAAATAAGAACGATAAATTACCAAAAAGGAATTTTTGAAAATTGTGACAAAATAATTGAAAATGAAAACATAAGTTAATTTGCTTATAGATTTTTCCTTTCGATAGTTATTTTTTAGAATTCTTTTCTTTCTGGCTGTTTGTGGTAAAAACAATACAATTTGCAGGAAAAATAAGCATCTAATTGTCACTAACAGATTCTACTCTTTGACGAAGAAGGTTTCCATACATCTTATTTCAATCTTCTCTTTTTATTTCTTCACTTTTCTTACTGATTTCACTTCTTTCTTTTTTTTTACTTTCATTTATGAGAATATCATTATGCTTTCGTTGTTTTCCTTTCAATGTTCATTGCTTCTTTCTCTGGTTCGTTCTTCCCCCTCTCTCTGTGATCTTTTTTTTTCTTTTT